TTTTTGATTTTTTTTCTTATAACAATGGGACACAATTATTTTTTTTAAAAATTATATTTATTTCGTCAATAACAATATTTTTTTCATAATAACAATATTTTTTTCGTCAATAACAATAGGATACAATGTAATTTTTTTTGATATTAATAATGATAACTTTTAATATTATTCATTCAATATTAAAATTTTTCGATAACAATAAATTCCACAAATACATTATTTTTATCAAAATGTTCTTTGATAAATCATAAATCATCAACATATATTTTATTTTTGTGATAATATATATAAAACATCAATTTTCCATCAACATAATATGTAATATTTTGTTAATACTAAATTAATATGGCTTCACTTCAGGAAACATTTGAAGATAAAACGCCTGAACAATGTAAAAAAAGATTAAATAATGAAAGTCAAACCTGTACAGACATGCATAAATCTCATAGATATCAGTGAATTAAAATTCTCATATTACATCAAGAGAACTGTCAGACAAAAAACATTGTATATAATGAAATTTTTCAAAATATTTAACACTCATTTATTGTAAATATAATTTAAATTACTTTAATGCACTATAATTATATCATTCTAATATATAGCTACATTATTGTAAATATAATTCATATCATTTCTAAATATAATTTATATTATTCTAATACTGTAAATATCATTTTACTAATTGTTAATATGATTTAATATATCTTATTTTAATATTTTTTTGTTAACTAATTATTAACTATATATCAAGTTTTAATTAATAAACAAAAAACTGTAACCATTTTTAATTTACATTATAATACCAAATTGTTCTATTTAAACAAACTCATTAGGTCCAGTGCGAAGCAACAGGTAACTGCTAGTATATATATAAAATAATTAGTACTGTTAGGCGCAAATGAATCATGTGAATCATGCGATACAATTCAAAGATTATTTATACAGGCTAATCTAAACGTTAGAAGATCGACATGTATTTTTTTATTATATTATATAGATTATTAGAAAAAAAACGCTGAAACGTTTTTTTTTGTATTAATTATTATAGAAAAAATGTTTTGGCGTTTTTTCATATAAAATTATTAAAAAAAACGCCGAAACGTTTTTTTTTTTGTCATTATTATTAAGAAAAAACGTTTTGGCGTTTTTTCATGTAAATTATATTAAAAAAATGCCGAAAACGTTTTTTTTTGTATTAGTTGTTAAGAAAAAACGTTTCGGCGTTTTTTCATATAAAATTATAAAAAAAAATGTCGAAACATTTTTTTTTTGTATTAATTATTAAGAAAAAACGTTTCAGCGTTTTTTCATATAATAAATATTAAAAAAACGCCGAAACGTTACTTTTTAACAGAAAAATGTCAAGTTTGGCATTTTTTTGTTTTTTTTAACTAAAAAACGTCGGGTTGACGTTTTCAATTAAAAAACCCGGGTTTTTTTAATTTTTTAATCATTTTTGATACACAGGTCAAACGGGTCAAACGGGTCGGATCAGGTAAGACAGATTACCTGACCCAACCCGACCCGATTTTTTTTGTCGGGTCGGGTAAGATGGATTACCCGACCTGACCCGACCCGTTCGGAATACTAATCTGAGTGTTATTGTGATATTTCATAAAAAATATTTTTCTTACTATTTTTATTTTTAAACTACTTGAATTTATAATTAATGAAAGAATTAATTTAAAATCCATGTCAAGTTATTTTCAAATTTTTATCATCTCAGTTCTTAATTTTCATATTTTTATTTTTTATATAAAATTTTTTTAAATTAAACTTCTTTTACCAAATACACTATAATCTCCACTTTGGCCAAATGAAATCAACTTTATTTATTAATTGAAAATTGTTTAGATGTGTTGAAACTAGAGGTCTGCAAACGGGACCTGGAACCCGGAAACCCTAACCCAGCCCGGACCCAGATCTGGATTTTGGCTGGCAAACTTTCTTCAAAATTCACCCAGGCCGGGTCTGGGCCAACACATGAATTTTCGTTGAACCTGGATTTTCATAATTCTGGCCAAAATCGTCTTAATTCCGGCCAAAATTAATCTGGCCAAAATTAAGTTAGCCAATTTTTTTGTTTTTACAACAAAATGATATAATAAAAGTCTGAATCTGGTCCAGGCCAGGTTTTTAATATTTTAAGTCTGGGCCAGGCCAGGCTGGGCACTTTATGTTAATTTCCAAGTGCGGGCCAGGCTGGGTTGTAAAATAGTAGTCAATGCAGACCTCTAGTTGAAACCACTTGATATGAATGTAGGTATAGTGCTTAGAGAAATTGCATTTTTCTTGATGATATTAACTCTCTTTTCTGTTTTTTAATTTAGAGTGTAATATTTCCACTTTGGGCAAATGAAATCAACTTCATTTATTAATTGAAAGTTGTTCAGGCAGGTTGAAACCACTTGAATATTAATTTTCATAAATGTAGGTGTAGTGTTTAAAGAAAATTGCATTTTTCTTGATGATATTAACTCTCTTTTCTGTTTTTAAATTTAGAGTGTAATATTTCCATTTGGGCAAATGAAATACACTTTATTTATTAATTGAAAGTTGTTCAGGCAGGTTGAAATACTTGAATATTAGTTTTCATAAGATTTCATTTTTTTGTAGCTGTAATAACTTTAGAACACTTATTACAGCTTATGTAAATTATAAAAATTAATTTATATTATTGGCTGATTATAATCACATGATCCCATTTGATTTAATAATTTAATAGAATGTTATTATTTAAAATTATATTCATATAAATGCAACTAATATTAATAATTATAATTTAAGCAGTAAATTCATTGACCAATTCATGTAAATTCTATATTCAAATTATGTAATTTCTTTATATAAATTCAGTATAAATTATGGTTAATCATGCAAATGATGCATTTTTGTGATGTGGAATTGTGCATTTTCCTGTATCCCTATATATAGTTTAGATACATCATCAGGAAATTTTATAGTGCAAAAAATTGCATAAGTTTACAATTTTGTAAGTTTACAAAAGTTTATGGCATAATATTTCAAAAAATTTCAAAATATTATATAAGTTTATAATTTTGTAAGATTTATGTGATATTACGGTCAAAATATTACACAAGTTTTTAATATCAAAAGATTCACGCAATATTACAGTTGAAATATTTTGAAAATTTACGGTTTTGTGAACCTGCATAATATTACAGTTGAAATATTTTGAAAATTTACGAGACTGTAAACCTGCGTAATATTACAGTTGAAATATTTTGAAAATTTACGAGACCATAAACCTGCGTAATATTACAGTTGAAATATTTTGAAAATTTATGTGACCATAAACCTGCATAATATTACTATTCAGATAAACTTGCAGTATGCAGTAGAATGTATACAAGGGCATGTAATTAGTGTTTGGATCTGAAGCGGTTTTATCCGGGGTTTATCCGGTATCCGTTTCGGTTAATTCAGGATGGAACTATCAGAATTACCAATTTTTTGATTCATAATATATTAAATATTCTGGTCGAAATTATAGTCTATTCAGAACTGAGATTTACAATCTTTTTTCGGCAATAATCTCATTTAAAATATTTAAGATTTTATCCAGATCAAAACACTACATGTAATACTATTGCAAATTTTATTTTATTTTTATTTTTTTTATTTACAAATTTTTATGTTAATTTTGATTAAAAATTAAAAGCAAATTCTATTTTTATTTAAAATTTTTTATTATTTACAATTTTTATGTTAATCAATTAAAAATTAAAAGCAAATTCTATTTTTATTATAACTTATAAAAAAAATACACATTTGATACTTGTTTGCTACTATTTTATAAAATAGTACCCAGGCTATATAACATGAATGTCAGTATCAGTTGCAGCCCAAAAAAAATGTGAGTCTTTACCCTTTATTTGGTATGGACTGGCCTTCGCTACTCTAAGGATACTGGAGAAACTAAGGAGTTTTGGCAAGTTAGCAAAATGTTGAAATAGCAAAACTTTGCCAAAACTATATGAAAGTCTTATTAAAAAGTTGGCAAAACTTTGGAGAAAAGTGAAACCTAACAAAACTTATTATAAATGCTGAAACTGCCAAAATCTTGCCAAAACTATAGTAAAACTATAGTAAAATCTTGAAGAAACTAATCGTAGAATTTTGGAGAGGTTTAGGCAGGTAACCTTACATTACTCATTCATGTGTAAATATAAATTTAAAAGTAAAATTATCTTCTTCTATGATACGTAAGTAGGTTTCTTCTCCTCCTACGATCATGGTTCATTTCTAAGAAATTTACAGATTTAGTAAATATTATTTATACAAATTTTCATTACAATATAATATTATAATTACTCAGCCTCTCCCAAAAGGCCAAAACCTAGTTCAGAATAGCCTAAAATACCTTTTGCCAGTACGCGTATATAGTCTTCATCTGGGAATACTATTATGATATAAACAAAAATTCTAAATATCAAAAAAATTAACATTAATAAAATGAATAATATTTAATTATATGACAAATATAAAATTTAATATTCAATTTATATTTTTTATTTATTCTTTCATTTACATGATAATCCCTAAGGAGATTTTGCCACTTCTGGCTGCATTGTTGTCCGGTGAAGTGCGTATCAAATCTGTCATTTATTCTAATTCAATTAAATGGATTAGTTAATTTAAAGATTTTTCTCAATTTCTATAAAATAAAATATTGTACACATGATAATATGAACCTTCATGCAATTACAGATCAAAATTCTTGGCGGCTTGTCCCATATAAACTGTAATATTATGCATTTTTTGTGAACGGTGCCATACTACTGGTCAGAATAGTCCATTTTGTCCAAATTTCAAATTGATGAATGTTGGATGAAAGTTGGTCTAATTTTGGCCGATCATTGCCAAAAAAATCGTCAAAATTATTATGGACAATTTGCACAGTTTGTCTGCCACTTAGCAATCACAAATCGGCAAAATTCATTAAAAATCAGAAATAAACTATTCGTCAACCTTTTGCTAGTCATTCGTCTAAATTTTAAATTGTGAAATTGAGTCTAATTTTGTCTAATTGTTAATGATTTTTATGTATTTAGTTTATTTTAATTTTGCAATAACAATCAATTAATTATATTTTATTTTTTCACTTTATTAAAATTACACATTAAAAATTATTATATTAAATATCAAATATCTACAGTATCTGTCTATTTACACCTACCATTCACCATTTACCATCCACCATCCACTATTTACCATTTACCATTCACCATCCATTGTCAACCATTATCAACCATTGTCAACTATCATCCACATCCATCATCTACTATTCATCATTCACCATCTATCGTCCACCATTATCTACTATCATCCACTCATCCAAAATTATCTACAACTTACTTTATCTGACAAAAGTCCGAAAGAGAAACCTACAAAAAAAATAAAGAAATGGTTAGTAAACTGTTATTATTTCAATAAAAAAATGTCAAAGTTTTGAAGATTCAAAACCTACCCATTCAATAGAAGTCCGAAAGAAAAACCTACAAAAAAAAATAAATAAACGGGTAGTAAACTGATTCTTTAATAAAAAAAATTTTAGTTTTGAAATATTTTGAAATTTACCTAACGAAAAATTCAAAGTGAAACCTATAAAAAAAAGAAGAAACGATTAGTTAAAGTTTCTTTAAAAAAAAAATAATTTCAAAATATGAAATTTACCTGATTTATTCAATATAAAGTGGAAACTTACAAAAAAAGGAAAGAAATGATTAGTTTTTTATTAAAAAAGTTTTGAAAAAGAAAGTGAAATTTTGAAACTCACCTATTCAAAGCCCAAGGATATCACAACTGATACCTACAAAATAAAAAAATAAATAAATAAAATTAAAAATTTATTTTTAAAGTTTTGAAAAGAAACAAAGCTTTGAAACTCACCTATCCAAAATCCAAGAACCAAAAGTCAAAACCTACAAAAATGAAAAAAAGATTAAAATAAAATTAAAAAAGTAATTTTTTTTAAAAAAAGTTTTGAAGTTATTATTCCAAACTCACCCATATATTCAAAGCCTAATAACTGAAAGCTGAAACCTACAAAATAGAAAAAAAAATTAAAATAAAATTAAAAAAATCTTTTTTTTAAATAGTTTTAAAGTTTTAACTTCAAAACTTACCCATATATCCAAAGTCCAACCAAAAGTCGAAACCTACAAAATAGAAAAAAAAGATTAAAATAAAATTAAAAAAAAATCTTTTTTTAAAATAAGTTTCAAAGTTTTACTTCAAAACTTACCCATATATCCAAAGCCCAAGAACCAAAAGTCAAAACCTATAAAAAAGAAAAAAAAAATTAAAATAAAATTAAAAAAAAAATATTTTTTTTTAAAAAAAAGTTTCAAAGTTTTCCGTATATCCAATGCTCAAAAACTGAAGGCTGAACCTACAAAATGAAAAAAAAAAATTAAAATAATTTTTTTCAAAAAAAGTTTTGAAGTTTTACTTTGAAACTTATCCATATATCTAACGCTTAAGAACCAAAAGCTGAAACCTACAAAATAGAAGAAAAAAATAAAAAAAATTTAAAAAAAAATAATTTTATTTTAAAGAGTTTTAATTTCTTCGCTTCAAAACTCATCTATATATCTAATGTGAAGCTGAAACCTACAAAATAGAAGAAAAAAAAATCAAAAAAAATATAATAAAAATAAAAAAAATAAGATTCGTATTTGTATTTACAAATTTTGGTTTATCTATTCATCAGAAATCCATCCAACCTATAAAAAAAAGAGAAAAACGGTTATTAGTAACTATTCGTAATATTAAAAATAAAAAAAAACAAAACTAAGATTTGTATATACTTACGAATTTTGGTTTTCTGATCTTTGGAAGCCTATTCAAATCTAAAAAAAATGAAAAGAACGGTTATTAGTAACTGTTCATTAATATTAAAAAAAAAAAATAATAAAAATAAAACCAAGATTCATATATACTTATGATAAGTAAATCGTTCTTTAAAAAAAAGATAGTTTTGAAGAGATTCTTCAAAACTTACCTTTGGGATTCAGTATCCAAGTAGGAACCGATTTTCCTACAAGAAAAAGATAAAAAAACATTAAAAAAACGTTTTTTATGACATTAATAGTTTCAAAAAAAAAAATTTTGAAACTAACCTTTGGGATTTCAGTATCCAAGTAGGAGCCAATATCCCTATAATTAAATATAAAAAAAAATGTTTATTTTAACATTTTTTTTAATAGTTTTGAAGAGATTCTTCAAAACTTACCTTTGGGATTCAGTATCCATGCCGAAACTGATATCCTTACAATAATATAAAAAAAAATGTTAGAAATTAACATTTTTTTATTAAAGTTTTGAAAATTCTGGAAACTTATCTTGGAATTCAGTATCCATGCCAGAACTGAATTCCTATATAGAAAAATCAAAAAAAAAATGTTTTTAAAAAAGTTTTGAAATATTTTATTTTGAAACTTACCTGGAATATTGGCGTCCACATTTGAGCTGAATTCCTATATAGAAAAATCAAAAAAAAATGTTTTTTATTAAAAAACATTTTTAAAAAAGTTTCAAAACATTTGTTTTAAAACTTATCTGGAATATCGGCATCCACATTGGAGCTGAATTCCTATATAAAAAAATCAAAAAAAAAACATTTTTTTATTAAAAAACATTTTTAAAGAAGTTTCAAAACTTACCTGAAATATCGGTGTTTACGTTGGAGTTGAATTCCTATATAGAAAAATAAAAAAAACGTTTTTAAAGTTTTGAAACATTTTGTTTTGAAACTTAACTGGAATATCGGCGTCTCATGTTGGAGCTGAATTCCTATATAAAAAAATCGAAAAAAAAAAACATTTTTTTTTATTAAAAAATGTTTTTAAAGTTTTGAAACATTTTGTTTTGAAACTTACCTGGAATATCAGTGTTCACGTTGGAGCCAAATTCCTATATAAAAAAATCAAAATAAAAAACATTTTTTTTACTAAAAAACGTTTTATTAAAGGAAGTTCCAAAAATCTTTCAAAACTTACCTGAAATATCGTTATCCACGCCAGAACCGATTAAACAAAAAAAATGCTTTGAGAAAAAGATTTTTTTTCAAAATAGTTGAAATAGTTTAAACTATTATTAATAGTCTAAATTTGGTAATAGATCAACTAATTACTGTGACTGCAGCTTAATACATCATATGATCATAAGTTGAAGTGTATCACTGATTTGCTAAACTTTTGCCATTATTGATATTAATTAATTAAAAAATTGTTTAAAAATTGTCAAAAAAGTTTTTAAGTTAATTGTAAATCAATAAAAAAAAGTATTGGTCGATTTATGGTTTTTTTTATATTACAACTCAACCAAAAATCAACCAAAAATCAACCAGTTTATTTATGCCAAATTTTTTTTGATTTTTGTAATTAGCCGAATGTATGATGAATCATATGATTGATTTGCCAAATTGTTGCCGAAAGGTCTTATTGACAAAATAAATGATTTTGACCAGTGTACGGCAGGACGAATTCAGGATGAAGCTTGATAACATAGCATGATTAAAATTAAAAATATATTTGAGATCAGAAAAGATTAATAAATTTTGAAATTATTTGCTTGTATTAAATGGTGTTGATTGACAAAGGGTTCGTATCTCTATACTTTTTGGCGTTGAGTAATACATGGCATTTTTCAACACTTTATACTCCTGTTTAAAACTTCCTGATGATGAATGGTTAAAATATTCACTAAGAAATTGACTAGTATCATTAAAAAATAAATTATAGCCAAAGTACTAAAATTACGCCATAAAATTTTTTTTATAAGTTTCAATTTTATTTCATTTATTTATATTTTAATATTTATTTTTTCAGCCTTCTGAAAAAAAAAACAGTCCCATTACTTTCAGCCTTCTGAAAGTATGAAGAAAAAAACATTTTTTTTTTTAAAAAAAAAAAATGGAAAAAAAAATCTAATCTTCTTGCGGCAGGTTCCTATAAAAAGATAGTTACAATTGAACCATAGTTATTATAATAAATAATTTATTGTATAATATTCACTTACTGCTGAGATTCATTTTTAAGACATTTTTCTAAAAATAATTGATATTCTTGCTCATTCATCCAAGGTGAAACTGGCATTTTTCCCTTGTACTTACATTTCTTTGAAAAGTGTCCTCTCCTCCAACACCTAATACAATACTCTTGAAATTCAGTTGGGATTTCAGGACACTTTTGGATCCAGTGACCTGGAGTATTACAAAAGTAACATATGTTTTGTTTCTTTGACGTGTTATTTATGTGTAAGTCAGCAATTACTTGTGTAGTGATTCGTAATGCGTTTAAAATTCCTTCAATCTTTTTTTCAATAATGTCTAGTTTTTCAGACATCTAATTACAGTATATAAAATATTATTGTAAATAAACTACAATCTAAAAAAAAAAAAAAAAAAAGTAAAATAATAAAAATAAATGAGTTAGCCTTACTTTCAAATAGCAGAGAAGAATAGGAAACAAGAAATACAAGAGAAAAAAAGATGTAAAGAAAATTTTTTTTTATAAAGTAGTGTTTTTGGTTCAATTTTAAATTGCATTAAATCAATCTATAAACATAAGAACTTGGTTGATTATCTAACTAATTGCCAGTTAAAATTTTCTTATTGATATTTTTGTTTTAAAAAAATTAATTCTAAATTTTATTTTCTTATTATTTTGAAAATGGACTTTAAGCAATTTTTTGCACTTTTATTCTATTTTTGCAATGAACTTTAATAATTGATTATTCACATCTTCAAAAATACTACTTGGTATAGAAATCAAAACAATTACTAAAATAAGTATAGCAGACAGATTTCATATTAATATAAGACATCATGTATTGTAGATCAAGGCCTATCATTATGTTGAATTGATTTTTTTGGTAGATCTTTTGTGTTGATGAACATGGTCTTGCGTATCTTCTAAAATATGACCATAATCTTTCTAATGATTTAATTAGAATATATGCATGGGACATTTTTTAAAATTCTATTATATAAACAAAGCAATAATTATTCCAATATTAATGATTTATTTATTCCTTCCTATATCTATTTCTTCACCATGCAATTTGTAAAATAATTCACATGATTTAAAAATTTCAATGTAGTGATATTTTATATATTCCAGTTCCCAAAGCTTTGATCAACTCTTTAAAAAATGAATCTTAACTTTTCTGATCATTTTGGTAAGTTTTGTACAGTTGTTAAATCTTGGTCTTATCAGCAGAAATGTATAAAAAAAAAAAAAAAAAAAATATGATAACCAAAATCTTTTATGTCATTATCATAAAATATTTTGCTGTATATATTTAAGATCATAATGAATTAAAGATTCTCTTCCATCCTATTTTTATATTGACTATTTTACTTATGTTTCTCTGTAAACATTAAAACTTTTGCTATTTGAACTGTCTAATAACATGAAAGAACCAGTGACTTTTTCAGGAATTTCTGACATTTTAGTGTCTTTTACAAACATTTTTGTATTTTTTATAGCATCTATAGCAATTTTATAAATTTAATCCCTTTGAGAGAATAAGTCTTTTAGTGAATGTGTATATACTTTTCTAAAATATATTGAACCTCTAGGTATTTAGATAAAATTGTTCAGTTGATCTAAACTACTTGCATACAAATTTTTAATATAAATATTTAATAAAGCATAATTTTTGTTAAACTATTTTAATTTGAATAGTTTTATAAGCATTAGAAATAAAATGAATTATAAAACTATTTAAATTTAAAGTTTAATTGTCATGTTTTAATAACATGTAATCTCATTAAACTATTTTGATTTATATAGTTTTATAAGAAAAATAATTAATAATCTTTCCAATCATATATTTTAAAAAGAGATAGTTATTCCCATAAAAATCCTATGATAGCAGATTTTGATGGACATATTATAGCAGATTTAAATACTATTTAGATATCATTTTCATCTACAGCTTAATCAATATGTAAAAGTAGTATGACTGATTGTTAATTGATTGTGCATTGAGTACAGATTAAATAAAAGACCTTATCAGTGGTTTTTTATTTAATAACCTGTCCAGCAGTTTGTCAAATGATGGGTTTGATTTTTATCTCTTGGCATTAAATTACCAATCTGATGATATAAAGCACCTTGAATTCTAAAAGTTTAAACTCCATCTTTAGCATTTGCAAAGTTCATCATCACTATTGCTTAATTATTTAAAAAGTTTCTGATAAACTTTTAATTTTTCTGTAAGGACTTCAATTGTCTCTTTAGCCATAATATAATAGTGAAAAAAATATAGGCTAATTAAAATAATAAAGTAATAAAATTAAGACCAAGCAAAAGGTTAAAAGAAAAAAATAAGAAAAAGATAGCTATACACTTTATACTTTTGTGGTATATCAGGGTACATAATAGTCCAATATTTCTGAAGCTAAACTGTAAGCCTTGGAAATAGCATATTGCTCTTACAAGTCTTTTATTCCTTATTTATGTTTAGGCTCCAATGTTTCATTATATCTTTCGGAATAAAGTTTATTGAGTTTTTGACCATGTGGTTAAGAACTTAAGATTGTTTCTATTAGAATATGATTCTGCAATATCAAGTATTTAATTCTTAAATCTATATAAATCATAAATAAAATTTTAATATTTTATGTTCCTTATGATTATAATCATTTTAAAGCATTATCAGCAAGGATTATCTGATCGATTTTCAGAATCATTATTAAGTAGTTTCCAAGGAAACATTTTCCATACAATCATAGTTGAAATTGTGTGGCTTAGGGATTAGTACTATCATGAAGATTTCCATTCTATATATATATATAACTTCAGTTTGTAGAATAAAATAAAAAATTTAAGTCAAAAAATCAAAAAATTGTTTGGTAAATAGTAAAGCATTGTATATTGTCTTTAATGGATTTTTTCCCAATAATTCTTTGGATTAAATTTTATATTGTATAATAATATATTACTACTCACAGGCCAGTAAAAAGAAAAATAGCTAAAGGAATTCTCAGAAAATCAGAAGCCCATACTAAAAAATAAGAATAATTAAAGAATATAAAATAACTAATATATGAATAAAGAATAAAATGAAGGAAAAGAAGAAATAAATGCATTTGATTAATAAATATCTACTGTAGATGAAATACATTTCTATTTATACAGATTTCCAAAAAAATAAAATTCTTATTCTTTTTAAAAATCAATGTGGATATGCTTTTTAGTTTGGAAGTAAACTTGGAAAGTATTCTGAAAATTTTCCCATTAGGAGGAGTTCATCTTGGTCCCAAAGCAAAAGATTGCCAGATTTTTGATAAAAAAGCCAGTGACCCTATATTCAAGTGGTATATTTGGACAGATCCTGAACCCATGTCTATAATAAAAACAGGTATGGCAAGATGGGGCTGGTTTCTTATTATCTAGCTCAAATTTCAGATTTTTATCATGGATATAAAGACTAAGATGAATGGAATTGATGAGGAATGTTAAAAATGGGTTGACTTCTTTTTTCAGAAGTGTGATTCTATATAATTCTACTATCTGCCACTAATCATTCTTTATATACAATGTCTTGTTCGTCATTAGATCTTAAATTAATTTGTGAACATATTTATTTAAGTTGTAAAAAAAATTTGAAGTAAAATTTACTAACTAAATGGTATTTATAAATGAGATTTTATAAGGGAAATACTTGTGTGATATTTTAAAAATAAAATTGATAATTAGCATTGAAATCTCTCCCTCACTTTACAAGAAAAAAAAGATGTCTAGACCAAATAAGGATAAATTATATATAGATAGAGTATCTTCAATTAAAGTTAATGCACTGGAGAAAATACAGGGGAGTTATGGCCAATATATAAACTTATATAATTATCTTATGAAGATTACTATAAATTCCTTTTTACTAATAAAATATAATATAAAAATATTGAAACTTTGCATAAATAAGAGTGGTTGTATAATTGTATTGGAATCTTTGAATACTTTTTGAAATATCATAATGGCTATAATTAATAGAGAAAATGAATAAATCTTTAAAAAGTGGTTTACTAGTCTCATTATATAACAACTTTTTATAATTTTTGTTAATGAAAGGCATATACTATTCATTATTTTTTTCAATGTTGATAAATAAAAAACATGTCTGATTTCATCTTACTAACACATGAATGATATGATCTTAAAATTAACTTATTTCCTTTAACTAATCCATCAGATGCAAAGTGCAAGAGATGAATAAGATCATATGTTATAACAATATTAATAATATAGTAGCCTCTGAATAATGAATTGGGTACATCTTCAATAAAGATATTTATATTTTCTAATGAAGGATATATTATATAATGAGTTTCTAAAGAAGATTTTTTTTGCCTCAATGTGATTAATTTTTTCTTTCTGGATTCACCAGTGAGGCTGGCTTTCTAAACATGTTTTTGGATAAGTTTAACTGATTTCATGTAATATGTAAGATTTATTTCTCTATTTTTAGAGCACAAACTCCAATAAATACTAAATACTAAATACTAAATTATTAAGCTTTCTCCAGTTTACATCTTTTATAAGTTCAATATAATCCATTATTTGCTTCTTATCACAATTTTATTATATAACCTTTTTGTAATGTGCAGATTAATATGAGCACTTAATAACATATAAGAGATTATACTTTTCCTTTATATCAGCTAAAGGTGAAAAATCAATATTAATGGGCAAACTGCTTTGGTGAGAAGAGCTTGAAGAGTGTTATTAAGATCCATATAATTAATTTGTCCTGTTATTTTATTTATCACCCATAGATGGAAATAGCGTAAAATGCATGCTGGATCTTCATCTTCAAAAGCCATTTTAACTTCAAATATAACATCAACTATTTTTCTGCCTTGCTATCAATCACTCTTCCAATTCTCTTTTCTTGCTGCAAAGTCTTGTTCTCCAAAATTTCCAGCAGGTAAGTTTAGTTATTTCATGTATTTCTTACCTATAAAAAATATTCCAAGAAAAATTTTGGCAAATGATCATTTTTTGTTTTAATCAATTTTCAAAAAAAATTTTTATAGGGCTTTGATATCCTTAATGATTACCATCTTATGGGCTTACATCTTGAGAGAATTTATGATGTTTTCCTGATATATGTTTTATTCTCAAAATTGATATATAGTTCAGTTATTAAATTATTGCAACCACTTGTGCAATTAGAATTTCTTCAATTTCTGAAAGTTCTATGAGCTCTTATCCTAAATGGTAATAATAAAGCTTTGCTACCCCATAAAAATTTTTCTGTGAAAAGGATCATTTTTTTAGTTTTGATCAATTTTCCAAAAAATTTTTTATAGGGCTATAGTGTGATTTGATTCTATGTCCAGTCAGATCCTTTCATCCAATCAACCATGTTGTTGAATAAAAGAGTTGT